GACCATGCACTATACAATCTGATTGTACGATCTCCTTCAGATCTACTAACACTTCTGTAAAGTCTTATCTACTAGTGTATCTATATATCCCCGGACGGATAATGCTGCTCTCCAAAGGTGTCTGCAGTGGCTCCTCCATGCAGAATGGAGACACCCTACACCTACAGGAAGCATGTCATTGGCTGAATCACCAGGCGAAAAAAAACTAACAAAAAATAAAACAATACAGCCCACACATTAGGGGTCATTAGGCTGCAATATATTACAGTTTTGGTTTGGAGTTTAGATACACTGGGGGGGGAGATTTACTAAAACTGGTGCACACCGATTCTGTTGCAGCTGTGCATAGCAACCAATCAGCTTCTAACTTCAGCTTGTGCAATTAGGCTTTGACAATAAAGCCTGAAAGCTGATTGGTTACACTGCACAACTGCACCAGATTCTTTATGAACCAGCTGTAAATGATCGCTGCTTAGGTGTCCATTTATGACTGAGGTGTCCGTTTATGAACCAGCAGTAATAGATCGCTGCTCAGTTCTCCTGTGAATGCCGTTTATGAAGCATATGTAGATCAGTTCTCCAAACGAAGGGAGAACGGTCTACAAACGCTGGAAAATGGCTGATTTTGCTATAATCTCGAGATATTACAGTAAAAGATCAGTTTATTAAGCAGAGGTAAATTATTGCTGCTTTGGTGTCCGTTTGTGAACCAGCGGTAATAGATCGCTGCTCAGTTCTCCGGCATTCTCGGAGAACACAGTTCTCCTGTGAATGCAGTTTATGAAGCAGTTCTCGGAACGAAGGGAGAACGGTCTCCAAACGCTGGAGAACGGTGTACAAACTCTGAAAAAACGGCTCATTTTACTATAATCTCTCAAGATTATAGTAAAAGATCAGTTTTACTAAGCAGAGGTAAATTATCTCTGCTTAGTTTTCGGTCCCTCTGATTCTCCAGCTCTGGGCTGGAGAATCTGGAGGGAGAACACAGATCTCCAGAGAAGGGCTGAACATGTTCTCCTGGGTGTTATAAACTGTGAATGACCAAAAAATAGCTGTAATCCTCTGAATCGCAGATATTCTGTGTGTCATAAATGGACACCTAAGCAGCGATAATTTACCTCTGTTTAATAAACTGATCTTTTACTGTAATCTCACCAGATTATAGTAAAATCAGCTGTTTTCCACCGTTTGTAGACCGTTCTCCAGCATTTGTAGACCATTCTCCCTTCGTTTGGAGAACTGCTTCATAAAAGGCATTCACAGGAGAACTGTGTTCTCCAAGAATGCCAGAGAACTGAGCAGCGATCATTTATCGCTGGTTCATAAAAGGACACCCGGAATTCTCGGAGAACACAGTTCTCCTGTGAATGCCTTTTATGAAGCAGTTCTCCAAACAAAGGGAGAATGGTCTACAAACGCTGGAAAACGGTCTACAAACGCTGCAAAACAGCTGATTTTACTATAATCTTGCGAGATTACAGTAAAAGATCAGTTTACTAAACAGAGGTAAATTATCGCTGCTTAGGTGTCCGTTTATGAACCAGCGGTAATAGATCGCTGCTCAGTTCTCCGGCATTCTCGGAGAACACAGTTCTCCTGTGAATGCAGTTTATGAAGCAGTTCTCCGAACAAAGGGAGAACGGTCTCCAAACGCTGGAGAACGGTCTACAAACTCTGGAAAACGGCTCATTTTACTATAATCTCGGGAGATTACAGTAAAAGATCAGTTTACTAAACAGAGGTAAATTATCTCTGGTTTCGGTCCCTCTGATTCTCCAGCTCTGGGCTGGAGAATCTGGAGGGAGAACACAGATCTCCAGAGAAGGGCTGACATGATCTCCTGAGTGTCATAAACTGTGAATGACCAGAGAATAGCTGAGATCTGTTGAATCGCAGCTATTCTCTGTGTCATAAACGGACACCTTAGTTTGCGGTCCCTCCGATTCTCCAGCTCTGGGCTGGAGAATCTGGAGGGAGAACACAGATCTCCAGTGAAGGGCTGAACATGTTCTCCGCTGATCTCCTGAGTGTCATAAACTGTGAATGACCAGAGAATAGCTGCGATCCTCTGGATCCTCTGAATCGCAGCTCTTCTCTGTGTCATAAAAGGACACCTCCGTGTGCACCAGCTTTAGTAAATCTTCCCCTATGTATTATGAGGACCTGTGCTACTGGATAGAAATGGATTGGATTGTACAGGTGTGTCCTCATATTACATAGTATTGATAGAAATGCATTGTACAATCAGATTGCAGTGTGGCAGCCTTAGAACTGTTGAACTAATAGGGGCTGATAATCGAAACTGCTCACTTAGGCTACGTTCACACTAGTTCTGTCAGCAGGTGTCAGAAAGGCATTTCGGAAGCATTTTTAATACTTCTCAAACGCCTCTAAAAATTATGCACATGGCAGCACACAGTGCTGTTCACACAGAAGCATTAGGGTTGCTTCATGGCAAAACTGACGCCTCTGGTCTAGTCAGGAGGAGTTGAAGCCTGTCATTCAAGTCTATGGTGCCGCTCCACCAACGCCTGGCTGGTGTTTGCAGTGCGGTTGCGAGGCATTTGTGGATCGTTAATACCATTTAAACTTCATTATAGGCGTTTGTGGTGCGGTTTTAACGCTTGGCAAACGCCTATCAACCGCCTCAAAAGAGCGCATAGGGCGTTTTGGGAACATTTGTGGAGCATTAAAAACGCTTCACAAACATCTGTCTAATGCTTATCAAATGCTATAGGGGCGTTTGGCAAGAGTTAGAAATAAAGTCAAGTGTGAACGAGCCCTTAAACAGTGATCCTTGAGTGAGTCTAGAAAATATGATGAAGCTGTATTCACCCTAATCAACCAATCATGTGCTAGTAAACTCCATCATTTTTCTCAGTAATTAAGAGAACGCAGGTTCGCCCTATTGAACTGACACTTGTCCAAGTGCTTAGTGAACATCATCTACTTATTTAGTAAACCAACATTACAATTTTTAATTTTAATTATTTTAAAGAATAGTAATGCGAGGATATCCAAATGTTATTATTAAAACTTTCAGACCAATTATCAGAACTATAGGTGTAGGTATGGAAAGTAGATATTTCAGTCACATTTTAATGTATTGTCCCATGTTGTTTTCCATATATGTTGAAACATTGACAAAAATGTGCTAATTTACAGAAAAATATAGTGACTGTATCTATAGTATAGTATTTATTTCACTGAAAATACAATGGTGTGCAGAATAAATAAAACAAATCAGGATTTGTGATTGCATATGGATTGAAGTGAACACAGCTTTACATCATTATCTGAGAACTTTGCAAAGTGAAAACCCCCTTTAGGATGGCCATAGATTATACAATTTTCTTGAGAATTTTGTTTTAGATTTACCAAAATCCATATAATATGAGGTCAAACCTAAACAACACTTTCAATTGTATCCAGTTAGGCAGGCCCCTGCACTACACGGCTGAAGGTAAATCTAAAGGAAATTGGGTAGAAATTCAACAGAAAATTGTAGAATATTGTATAATGTATGGTCAGCCTTACTCCCTTAGTAAATCACTCTCTTTAGATGAATGGACAGGTACATGGGTGAATAATTACTTTCCTATTTAATTCTGATATGTTCATGGATTTTTTCGATGTATAAGGAATGTTAAGCTTTGTTTATGTAATCCATCAGTAATTCTTGATAGGTGCCCCCCTTTAATAAAATCATCCGAAGCCATGTCTCAGCTACTTTAATCAGACTTATCTGGATAAAGAGGCCTTCATTCTAAAGTAGTATTTGTAAAATGCTGGCCCTATTAGTATATACTTTGTGGAAGTCATACAAAAATAGGTTTAAATTGTTACTAAACCCAGGACCCTGCATTCACTAAATCTGGTCTCCCACAGTACACAGAACCAGGGGCGGACTGACCATTCGAGTACTTGGGCACTGCCCCAGGGTCTGGGGTCAGTAGGGGGCCCCATGTAATGCCCCTGGTACCTTTTTTATAGGATTTTTTGGGTGTGCTTTGAGTGTGGGCAAGGACACAGGGGCCCCATGGTCCCCTATTGCCCGGGGGCCCCATCAGTTGTCAGTCCGCCCCTGCACAGAACATGGAAGTGCAATTATTTTAGTAAATATAAACTGCTGAATACCTTTTATCATCAGCAGTTAGAGCAGCCCTGTGACTTCTATCAGTGTCCAGCAGAGCACATGTTAAAGTTTGTAGGAGGAGTTTTTATTTTGCTCTAGGAGGCTGCAGAAACCCTGACCCTCTGTCTGGACAGTGCTGATTGGTCCTGTGATGATCACACGCACTCTCCCAAGAAAAAAAATATCTCTAGCAATACACACAAAACTGAGCATGTGCAGAGTGATTCCATACGATATGGCTTATCAGGAGATAAAAGGGGGACACTGGAAGAAGGGGAGGATCAGAGAAGTCAGGATCCAACTGCCTTTTTAAACAATGCAGAGGACTAACCCCTTAGGTTCCACAGTGAGTATAACAAGCATGCTTTACTGCATATACAGACTGATTTTATTGTTGTGGGTTTAGTATCACTTTAATTCTGATTTCTGATACTTGGGCAGAGGTCACCATACACATAAAATTCTGACTATACAATTAACTTTTGATTGCCCAAAACGATGTCATATGAGGACCTATACCTATTTGTATCCAATCAGACAGGAGCTTGCACTATCTGGTAGATCTAAAGGAGGTTGTACAATCAGATTATATAATGTATGGGCAGTCTGCCTGGTCTACCTGATCATTATGTATGGGAAAGGACAGGCCCTTTCACTCATAGCAGATTGTACAATCAGATTGTAATGTGTGTGATGAGTTTAGGAAAGTATAATAAGGTGAAGGTTGTGTGGTCTTATATCATGCTCCTTTCCATCACCAGTGGAGTCCTTTCAGCAGGTGATGTCTTTACCTTCCTCTGCCCAGTAATATCTGATGACACAAACCCTGTGTGCTCTATTCTAGTAACTGTTTGTATTTCCATTGCAGTGGGATTGCCTCGCTACCAGCACCACTCCTCCCCTGTGTGCGACAGAAAGGATTTTGTTCTCAATTTTAACGGGATTTCTTCTTTCCATCCGTCTGCCAGTAGTTCCTACTATCACCATCACCATCATCAGAGTGTCTGCCAGGATATAAAGCCGTGTGTGATGTAGATGGGACTGAGCCAACACCATGGGGAGCGAGCGACAATCGCAGCGTGTGTGTACTGTCCTGCACTGTGCCAGGCGGGCATCGAGCACCCCTGTGCTGGGCTTGACTCCTGCCCTGTGTATCTCAATGCTGGGCTTTGCAGCCACACTAATCTATGGCAGGGTGCCAATCCCAGCGCTGGATCCGTGTTCAGCTGCCATATATGAAGTACCCTTCATCTTCCATCTGCTTGAATTACTTCCAATCGACTTTCAATGTCCGGGCACTTAAATGTATCACTGCCTGCCAAGCACAGGTAATAATAAAGTTTGATATGTTTACAATCCTGCAATCAGGAGACATTGTCGGATCACAAGGACGAGTATCTGACCCCAGACACAAACACAGCACTTCTGTCTGAGACAGACTGAAAATAGGAACCAGTATTAGCTGGCCGCCTTCAAATAATCCACCTCCCCTGTATTTGTTCATAATATGGGGTGATTCACCCTGGAAATATTGTCATACAGTTTAGGCTGCCCATACACTGTACAATCTGATTGTACAACCTCCTTTAGATCTGTGTTGCAAGTTCCTGCCAAATAGGTGGGTTCTTATATTACATAGTTTCGGTAGATCTAAAGTTGATTGTAAGGTGTATGGAGAGCCTTAGTGTGCATTCAGGAGAAAATCTAAGAATATTTCATTCTGAAATGGCTTGGCCAACCTATTTATTTCTCCTTTATGAAATCACACCCTATATTGTAGTAGTACAAATACTCCTAGACTGCAAGTCTTCCTCAGAATGGGCTCCCCTCTCTATATGGAAACAGAACTTGGGATTAATCATTACTGAGTGATGTTTGTGATACTTGCTTTGTCCTTGTAAATATTTTCGATGTGACTTAACCATGAATCATGGCTCATGGAAAACCAAATGCTGGAATCAATCTCCACATGGTGGAATGACTGCGTGGTTTAAAAGCAAGCTTGGATTACATTAGAGGGAAAACACTGGGAGCCTGAAGATTGCATTGTACAACAAGGCAAGAGTGATGGGACATGTATGGTGCATGGATCTCTACACCCTGCTTTTCAACGTGTTTCTTCTCTCCTGTCTCCCTCTTTCCTTCCCTCTTAACCTATCTGCTTATCTTTGTCTATACACCATGCCTACTTCCTTCTCTGCCGCACTACACCAATTATTTGATTCCTTGTCCCATGCACTGACCATTTTTTCCTTCTCTGCCCATTTTCCTGTTACTTTCATCTTTTACATCTCTTTGTTATCCTCTCATACCTCTCTCTTCCATATAATCACTATTCCATCCCTCTTATCACTTCTCTGTTTCCCTGTATTTTCGATATTTATTGTCCTTCTTCTCCCTTTCACCCTCTATTCGTTACCCTCTCTCATTCTTGTACCTCTATGTCTCTTTCTTTCTCTCTTGTTCTCTATTTCCCTTATCTTTCTCTACCATATATCTTTCATTCTTTCTTTCTTTTTCTTTTTTTCTTTTTTCTTTCTTTCTTTCTTTCTTTCTTTCTTTCTTTCTTTCTTTCTTTCTTTCTTTCTTTCTTTCTTTCTTTCTTTCTTTCTTTCTTTCTTTCTTCTTTTTCTTTCTTTCTTTCTTTCTTTCTTTCTTTCTTTCTCTTTTTTCTTTTCTTCCTTCCTTCCTTCCTTCCTTCCTCCCCCTCTCTCTCTCTCTCTCTCTGTCTCTTTCCCTAGCTTTCCCTCTCTTTCATATAATCTACCTAATTTCTTCTCTCTTTCCTCTCTCTCCCTTTATCGTTCTCTCTCTCTGTCACTCTCTCTCCCTTTATATCTCTCTCTTCCATACAATCTACTTCCTTCTCTCTCTTTCTCTCTCTCTACCCTTTTCTCTCTGTCATTCTCTCTCTCCCTTTATATCTCTCTCTTCCATACAATCTACTCCATTCTCTCTCTTTTTTCTCTCTCCCTTTATATCTCTGTCATTCTCTCTCTCCCTTTATATTTCTCTCTTCCATGCAATCTACTTCATTCTCTCTTTTTTCTCTCTCTCTCTCCTTTTATTTTCTCTCTGTCATTCTCTCTCTCTCCCTTTATATCTCTCTCTTTCATATAATCTACCTCCTTCTCCCTCTTTCCTCTCTCCCTTTATCCCTCTTTCTCTTTCTCTCTCTCTCTCTCATTCTCTCTCTTTCCCTTTATATCTCTCTCTCTTCTATATAATCTACTTCATTTTCTCTCTTTTTTTCTCCCTCTCTTTATCTCTCAATCTCCCTTTATATATCTCTCTTCCATATAATCTACTTCATTCTCTCTCTCTTTCCTCCCTCTCCCTTTATCTTTCTCTCTTTCTCTCTCTCCCCTTTTAATCTTACTATTCCATACCCCCCCCCCCCCTCTCTCTCTCTCTTTCTCTCTCTCTCTCCCTCCCTCCCCCCCTCCCTCCCCATCTCCCCCTCCCTCCCAATTTCTCTTTCGCTCTCTCATTCTCCATCTCCCTTTGTATCTCTCTCTTCCATTTTATAATCTCCTTCCCTCTCTCGCTTTCTTTCCCTCACTCCCCTTCTTTTCTATGAATTGCCTTTTTTAGCTTTACACACTTTTCCTTTCTTTCCCTTTTTCCCTTTTTAATATTTCTTATTTTATCTACCTCTGTAAACTCTAGTTACATCCCTGCATTTTCTACCTGTCTCTTCCCTTTACATCTCCCTGCCTCCAACCATCACACAATCAGCACAGCAGATGCAATTTTGACCATTTTTAATTAATGAAACTTATTCTATGAAATCTTTGGGAAGTCAGCACCCATCTCCCACACGTTTTCTCCTTTACCGTCTAGTATTAAAATGTTGTATATATTAGAAATTAAATATTTTTAGTAGGTCAAAATGCAAGGATATTTTTGCCATTTTTTTTCTTTAGATTTTCTTATCACCATATGTTGACAAAAGTGTATCTGAAATCTGTATAATCCCACTATGCTTTTTAAAGAAAGGAATGTATTTGCACTTATGTAGTCGTAAAAAAATGTTCAGATATTTGGATGTACATTTTTTTTTCCAATAAAATGTTTATAACAAATGCCAATGGAGAATGCTTTATCTTTCATTTAGGAAAGTAAAGTGGATACATTAGGAAAGTAATGTGCATTTTAGGAAATAAAGTGGATACACGAAGTGGATACATTTAAGAAACTTCGTGGATATATAAAGTGGATATATTTATATTGATGTAATTTATCTTTTCTTAAAACATGTACAGTATAGTGTAAATAGAACATAAAGTTAGCCACCTGTGTAGTTTACACTTTCAGTATCCCAATAGCACTTGTTTGTTGGATCGCTATAGAAGAAGCATATTAATCTGTATATAGAGGCTGTGTTTAGGTCAGACAGTAAACTTAAGTAGAAATAAAATACCAATTGACCTTTATCATATACTTATCCCTTCGTTTTGTATATGACCAATTTCCCTGTAAATGGAAGCAACCTCTTGATTTATGCTTTCACCTATATACGGCTGGGGAGGCTAATTGCAGAGAGCTTTATGGATAGAATTATCCGTTCGCAGCAAATTATTCCCTGATGCACTATTTATATACCTCTCCATTCCTCCAAGATGTTTCATTTCGATAGGTTTCTGTAATGTCAAACTTCTGCTTTAGGTTTACTGATCCCATTAAACAAAGAATACAAAGTCCGGATTTTAAAAGGAAACAATAGAATGGGTATTTATATTGTTTGCATCGCAGTGCATCTAACACAAAAATGGGGTAAATCACTGCCATGTCCTGCTGGGAGCAGATGACAAGAAGGTGCCTAGCCCCCCTATATGTAGAATCAGAGGTCACTGCTGGCCAGCCAGGCATACTGCTCTCCTGGCTGCTTTACACACTGATGCTGGAGAATCGCATATTGCTGTCTATATTTATTTTTTGAAGCCCTATTTACATTTAACCAATATAAACTGTGAATTGCCAGAAGTCTGCTGTTTCCTGTCGTGTTCCCAGATCCTATTAATATAGGTTGGTAGTAAATAAAGGAGACAGGCTGCAGCTGCAACTGCACTTGAACTCCCCATCTCTGCAGGGCTGGCATGTGACTGTCATATCAGGGGCCGGGCCACTCTCACCTCTGCAGGATGGAGTGCAGCTGTCAGTGGAGCAACCCATGTCTTACACTGCAAGCTAAGTCATCATATATATATAATGTATCTAATATATGAAAAACATATAACACTAATAAACATATATATATGTATATATTTTTTTACTTTTTTAAAAAAAATGTTTATATAGAGAGATAGATAGCAATATACAGTGTATATATATATATATATATATATATATATATATATATATATATATATATATATATATATATATATATAATATAATATTATTTTATGATAAATATGATAAATATGCAATGCCAATTAATATTTTTTCTAATAACGTGTGTGTGTGTTATTTATTATTTGTTTTATTGGTTTATTGTTTTATTTTAATTTTTTTATATATATTATATGCAAGTGCATATATGTGTGTAAGCTAAGTAGATTGGTGCATTCTTTGTCAAGTTTTAATTAAACAAAGCATTCATTTTTCATTAAACTTAGTTCAAATCATCAATTTAAAAAAACCTGTTAGTTAATCTCCTAACCCTAGCCTAGGTCCACATTAGTACTGCTGCATAATCATGCATTTCAGTGTGGTTTTGTAAAGTGCTCATGCACATTTTTGCAGTGTTTTTCATGCGTTTGCATGTGGCATGCGTTTTGGTTTTTGCCAATGATTAGCAATATCTGCTGTGACATCATTGTTGCTAGGAGGAAGAGACTGGATTTTAAGCACAAAAGGGCCCCAAACGATGTACATGCATTTTTGCTCCCATTGGACAAAAAAGCACAATGTAGCACCAAAAGAAGTACAGGCATCTTTTTAAACAAATCACTTTGGATTGATGTGAATGGCAACTTAGAGAAGAAGGTGATTTCCATTGTCTTGCTCTGCAAG